TTGTGTAATATAGAAAACAATATCTCTGTTAGGTTCGTAAAAAATTCTTAATTATAAATAAAATAGGAATTTGATGACGTTGAACTTTCGATGAAACTGGTCGATATTATCTTGATCATAAACTTCGAAACTATCAATAACTGTATTATTTAACGTTTCATCTAAAATTTGTTTAACTTTATTAAAATAAAATTATTCTAAATAAATGTTTTATTGTTGAACTTGGATCATTTCAATATTATAAATGATACTTAAACAAGACTAACAAAAATATAAAACATGAATTTTTCCATTTATAATAAAAGAAAAAAGAGAATATAAACTTGTGTATCTATAAGAGTAAAATATGCATCGAAATTAAATCTTTGAAATATTTTCATAGAATGAACAAGTCTTTTTTTGAAAATGTTCATTTTTATTAACATCTACCATAAAGAGTAACCATAACAGATCGTTTTTAGTTATCTAGCCGATCCAAATTTGACATTTAAAATTCATCATCTGATTGATCATATTTGACTAAAAGCATTCAAACAAATATATTCGAGATGAATCACAATAATAATTATCTTCAGATAGAATATCTAATGCATTTACATTTCATATAAATTTATTAATGCGGTAGAATAGTTCAATATGTGACATGTAAACGTATAAGATAATCCTAATGATGGTAGATTTATGTTTCAAGTTGAACAACTGATAGATAAATCTGAACTCTATATTTAATATAATATTATGATAAAACAAATAAAATCATATCCAAATATTGATCCTATTGATTTCATATAAAAAATAATTATTCTTGAAAAATATTCATTTTCATCTTTTCTCTCTGTCGATTATTTTGTAAACAACGAAGATCTGTTGAACATCGTCATAATTATCGAATAAATTAAAAAAAAAGAAAAATTATTCTTTTGACAAATAGACAATCAATAATCGTTTTATTTGCCTCTTTCAAATTGAACCAATGGAATTAGTGAATACAATTCAAGTTCGTTAGTTGGGGATCTCTGACATAGATAGATATATTTACAGAAGAAAAAAACTTTCCTCAATATTCACATTTGTTCTACTATAGAATAAAGTGACGCTAATAACACTGATGAGAAAAAACTAAAGCGACGACGATTAAAAAAAGAACAATGTCTTTCAGTTGTTCTTATTCGAGTTTTTCTTTGTGATGATGATGAATACCAAACCATTGACGTAAGATCATGAATAGTTCTAATGGACAAAACAAAAAAAAAGATAGAATTGATGATTGTACAATTAAATGATTGAATATTGACGATACAAGTAGTTGAACTATTTCTAAGAGTTCGATTTTATTTCTTTTATCTATACTTAGAAGGACAAACTAAACTATGAAAATGTTTCTATTCCTAACTCTTCGATCTTAAAATCTAACGAATCTTATGATTAAGAAAAAATTTTTTTTTTTATCTTATAAAAATTCTTTTTTCATATACTATTATCATAACGCTATTTAGTTTTAACATCGTATATGAGATGTAGATTGTATTAGGAAAGTAGAGGTACTCATAGCTGTATATTCGAAAAAGGCAAATTTCCCTTTCGAAATCCTATTCAATAGAGATAGTCTTCCAATCAGTAGTTGAATTGTCGTTGAGAAAAGTTCATAAAATTGTTCAAGCATTTTTCTTCATTGGCTTGTTTCGATCCAACGAGAAGAGTTGAGAGACACTTTAAGCAAATCCAGACAAAAAAACCACAGACAAGTAATTTTCTTCTTAAAACTATCTTTATTCGATTGTCTCGAAGTTAGTTATACCATATTCTTTTTAGTCTCTACTGCATTGTGATTGTTGAGAAAGTAAATTTTTTAAAAACTTTCTATCAAAAATTCTTAAAAATTAACAAAAAAGGTATGTTTACTATAAAATCCACAATTTTTCTATAGTATTTTTCATGTAGATTTCATTAAAAACAACAAAAAAAATGATTTTCCTAACCATTCTCAAGTAGAGATTTGTTCACAAAAACCTCAAACCTTGAACAAAATTGACGCTCTCAAAGACGATGATAAAGTGAAACTGAATCCATTTTCTAGTCATCCCTATTTCGCATAAGATACAACAAAAAAATTATTGAGAAAAAATTGCGCGTCATCTCCAAAACTCATTTAAAAAGGAAAGAGTTTAATATAAGATTTTAACAGAGAACATCGGAAAAATTGTTTTTTTTTGCAACGCAAAAAAAAAAAAATATAAGGAAAGTTGATATTTGTCGTGAGTATTTAAATGAGTAGAAAATATCATTTGATTGAATTTAAATGGAATCATGTTGAAAAATATCCAATCGAATAGAAATATCTTCAAAATATTTTCAAGCATATAGTTATGGACATGTTTGGAAATTTCAATAGTTTTTTGAGAAGATCCACAACGAACTTATATATTATTTCAGACTGTTGGGCTCTTAACTCCAAATGTAATTATTCAGCTTTTTCCTTTTTTATTATTTCTTGAGAATGTTCGAGTTTGATTTCTATTGAACTGAAAAAGAATAGAAACCTCCTATGAATCTCTATCCATAGTTGACAGTTATTATCATTATAGTCTATTCTGGTAGAAATAAACGAATAGTCAATTTGAAAATAGCGGATAAAACGAATTCGAATAATATATTTTTCGAGAAATTTAGTTTTATCGTAATATTCACTCGAACCACTCGGAAAGGAAACATTTGGAAAAAAATGTTGAGATGGAGTAGAGATGAGCTATTACATAAATAGAAATATTTTCAAACAATGTTAGTCGACATAGTAGACTTCGAATATGTTCACAACTTTTCTTTCCCTTACTTTTTAATGATCTTTCGAAGGAGATGTTCCTCAAAAAAATTGACAAGAATTTTATGTTTTATAATCAGTATACTATTTTTGCTAACTAATTAAAATCTTACTAGTTTCTCGATGATCATCATTGGATAATGTATTATTTATTTGTTCTTGTTCGTGTTGTCGAATAATTGATGGCGATGCTGACGATGATGATAATATTTGTTGATTCTATAAATATGTTAGAAATTGAAAATAAAACATATTATCTTGTACTTACATTATAAAAATCAATCACTGCTAACATATGATCCTGAAAGATAAGTATAACAGTATTAGATATAAAATAAATGTCTCTAACTTACAACAATTTTTTCCATTTTGTTTAATTTATCATCTTCAATTGAACCATCATTTATTTTATTTAATACCTAAATAAGTAAAGTAATATTTTTATTTGATCTTATCATAAGATGATTGTTTTCTTGCTTGAGAAAGATCGGCTATTATTTCTCGTTTCATGTCGTCCATTTTCAACTAGAAAAAAAAAGTTAATGATCGGAAGATCTATAAACTATGCGAATAAAGTCAAATATAATCCAGCAATATGATAATGATAAGTGAAGCATAATCTGTATCAAGAAGAAAAATTAGTTTTTATATGAATGATCTCATATGACGGCGGAAGGAACAAAACAAAAACGACAAGTTATATCGATCAATAGAAAATAAAGAATAGATGTCGCTCTCTAATATGTGTCACTTTAATAAGCGAAGACATTTACCTCATTATAGAGACACTAAAAGGCAAATGGGATTGGCTACTAGTATTGAAAATAAATATTATTTTATTGGATGCATTATCTATAATGAGAATGTCTGTAGGGATTGTGTGAAGTGAGCATAAGTTGTCGTAAGGTTAAATCGTATTGATTAGTCCATATAATACTAATATTCTATATATAATAGTAAGAATTATCAATAGTTGTCCTTAGTTGTCGATAAAATCTTTTCAATGAACTAGAAATAATTTTCTTCGTTTTCTGTTAGCCAGATCGAGGCGAATGGAAGTAAAACGTGTTCTTCGAAGAGGCTCTGATTGAAAAATTTCAAGAATGGCCGATATTAGACAGTCGCAAAATTTTTTTTTTTTTTAATAAATGTTTCTTGAAGAAGAGTGATAGATAACGTAGTGTTTTTTAATGGGAATCTAGTTTAGAAATGATATATTTTATATTCAGATGAATTTGATAACCGTTTATAGAGAGAATTTTTTAGATTTTTAAAAAACTTGTATTCAATGTTTATTTATGAATAAGTCTATTATCGTTCAGCAAATAGCGATGTTCTTATTTCAGAACGAACACTTTGAAACTTTTACAATAAGCTATTCTCATGAAGGTCTATCTCTGTGCAAAGTTTCAAGTCGAAATTTCGAGAGAGACTATGATATTTCATTAAAAAAATACAGTATCTTCGCAGTAATTAGTTCGAACTCTTTTCAAGATATTCATAGTTCATTAGAAATCTATAAGATGCATATAGTTCTTACACTTAGAAACATTTTTCAATTCCATCATTTATTAGAATAAAATCAATATGTTTCAAAAAAACTAAAAGCATTCGTATTCTAAAGAACTAAGTTTTTCTATTGCATTGATTCATCAATAGAGGGCGCTTCTTTTCAACTGATGATTTCTATTGATTAATCGAACACCATTGGGTTCTTTTACACTTTAGAACCCCAGGCATCTGATTGGTCACAACACAAGCACAAAAGTGTGGGTGAGGGTGAGAAAGTTGATTATTTGGGGTCCTAAAGTGTAAAAGCTCCCACCATTGCTTTGTTTCTGTAGTTTGACCCGAACGGTCAGTTAGTCAGCCGTCAGACTAAAACTTAATCACATGTTTATATCATTGTTATAAAAAAAAATTTTGTTTTTGTTTTTGAGATTTTGTAATAATGCCATCATATCCAAGTCCAATATCAGCACCTATATTTGATTCTGATGAATCTGATGTAGTTGGTCAACAATCAAATGACAGTAGTAATTATTTATCATCATAATTTAATCAATATACACGTTTATCATTTTCACCATAATTAAATTTAAATACAACAAGTCAAATATTACCATTATTAATAAATTTTGATGATAATCAAGATAATTGTCTACATAATAATTCAATAAATATGGAATCAACACCAACAAAAATAACTAATTCAACAACGAAAAAACGCAAACGTACAAATGATAAATTTGAATATCAAACACCAAATCAATCACCATATACAAGACGTAAAAATCTTGATTATACACAACAAATAACAATTAAAACACCTAAAATTCAACGTCGTTCACGTTATAATCAAAATCAATCACCAAATACTACTACTAATAATAATAATTCATCATTAATATTTACAAATCGTATTAATATAAATCCATTTAAAATAAAACATCATTATCAAACACGTCTTGCTATAAAAACTCAATCATTATTAATACCATCATTAAAAAATTTATTTATTCAACAATATGAACAAGAATTTCATTATGAATTATGTCTTGGTAATGGTGAATTTTCACATGTTTATTTATGTACAAATCGTCTTGATGGTTTAAATTATGCTATAAAAATTTCACAAAAATTCACTTATTGGTACATGTTATGAACAACAAGCATGGCGTGAAATATGTGCATATGCGTATTTAACAACACATGAAAATTTAATACGTTGTTATTCAGCATGGATTGAAAATGATGGAAGATTTTTTTTTACAATTAGAATATTGTAATGGTGGTTCATTAGAAGATTTAATTGAAAAAAATCGTCAAGAAAAAAAAATATCTTAATGAAGATATATTAAAAAATATACTTCATCAATTATCTGATGTATTAACATTTATACATAATAATGATTTAGCACATTTGGATATTAAACTATCAAATATAATCTTATGTTATTATAAAGATAATGAAATTTTATATAAATTAACTGATTTAGGACATATTAGTCAAATAAGTTTATATAAAATTGATAATGATGGTGATTGTCGTTATTTAGCATTAGAAATATTACAAAAATTTAATAGAAATAACTTATATTTAGATAAATGTGATATTTTTTCATTAGGTTTAACATTATATGTTTGTGGAACAAATTATATTATGTCAAAACAAGGTAATGAATGGCAACAATTACGATTAAATATTTCACAATATTTATATTCAATAACACATTGTTCAAAACAATTTAATGAACTTATATCTGAACGTATGTGTAATATTGATCCTAAACGACGAGCATCAGCTTATGAAGTAAGTTTAATGAAAAAGTATTTATAAATAGCAGAAATTCTATGGAGACAAACTTATGTTATTGAAACTGTTTCTATTTAGATGATGATTTAAAAAAAAAACAATTCACGCTATCGAAGAAGAATTTAAAAAAAAAACTTTTGGTCGTATGAAAAAAATTGTTTATTTAATTCATCTAATTAATCAATATAAAAAACATCAATACTAATCAATTTCAATTCGTTACATTGTGGTAAGGCTGTCTTATACATTTTTAAATCTTTACCTCTTTCTTCATTCATTATTAATTATATATCATATAGAAATGATTATTTTTATTTATTATATATTCTTTTAAATTATTATTCTAATATTTACAACTATATTCAAACTTATGAAATATAATATATAATTATTTTTACAACATATAAAATACGATATAGATATATATAATATATATTGTAAAGGTATAAACGGAAATAAAATAGAATAAAATACATAAAAAAATGTGTGATAAAAAACCTAATAAATAAATATATAACGAGATCAGTTGTAGTAATGTTTGGAACGTAATAGGTTCTTGTTCAGAGTTTGCTCTTAAATACGATTAAAACATAGTTGAAATTTATTCTTCGTTGTTCTTCTCTCCTTACTATTGTTTGATACTGGTACGGACAAAACGGCGACATTGGTGCGTGAAAAGTTAATTTTCTTCATCTACACCAGTATTAAACGATAAGAAAGACAAAAGAACAACGAAGAAAAAATTTCAGCTACATCTTCTAGTTGCATTTAAGAACCAATTCCGAACAAGAACGTTTTACATTCGAATCGTTAGTACAACTAATATCGTTATGTATATTTTTTTTTTATCATACATTTTTTTTTTTATATTTTTTATTTTATTTTATTTCTATTTTGCACTTTTACAATTATATATTATATATATTATATATTTCTATATCGTATTTTATATGTTATATTTTATAAGTTTCAATATAGTTGTAAATAGTATATAATAAAAAAATAAATATAACAATTTATATATCACATCTTGGGTTTCCGATTAGGGAGCAGGAGTAGTTAATAGTTATTGAAGATAACTAGTAATTGAGCTATCGGATGATGAAAAGCTTGTATAAGATCTGTTTGAGCAGATCAATATTTTTTGAAGAGTAATATATATATATATATTTCTCTGTCTGATGTAATAATAAAATTTTATTTAATGTATTTTAATTCGACCTTCGATATCATTCATGATCTTCATAGAAAGAAAAAATCGAAAGTCGTATAAGTGATCGGATCGTAAAAATTTTTCTCGCATTATCTCTCATACAATACCGAATAAACCAATATATGGAACTAATCGGCAATCGAATGACTCATTGGTCAGCGATATTTTCCATTAGATACGATTTTAAATAAATACTATATAGTGTAGTAACGATATCTATAACTAGGCGATTTCAATCGTTTAATGACCAGCGTTCTCAATGGCGAATATACGTCCGTCGTGTCTACACACTTTGATAAAACAAAAGACATTCTTTGTTTATATATTCACTTTCTAACCGTTCCGTTCATAACGCGTTTAGTCGGCAATAGTATGGTAGAACAGTTATTTATGAAAGCTAGAAATAGAGTTGATACGAAAATCTCTCCTTCACGTCCAAAAATTGAGAATACACCATTCTGATATATACAGTCGAGGAATATTTCAATTATACTCTTTGACTTTTTTTTTATCACTATTTTTTTATCGATTAACTTATGATATATAATAAGAAAGGCCAGGACCCGCTGCATCTCTTTGTATATTTACATTGAACATGAAATGCAGTTTAAAGTATAAATAGTGTATTAGAGAAAGAAGAATTTTTTTTTTTAATATCAGTGTCGATATTGTTGTAACATTTTTTTTATTTGTCATATATCTCGGCTTAGGTAAATGATAAAGCTTTAAATTTTTTTCAAAAGATGCGCCGTAAGAAGCTCTAGAAAAGCTGTATGATCGAGTTTCGTTTTACCTATTCTGATGATTATTCTTATACTCAAAATGAATAACTTCTAAGTGGCAGTGTCACTTCCCATTATACTGAAAATGTTGGAAGACTTTTTTGCTCTGCATGTATCTCATCTTGAGAAAATGACAAAATATTGAATTTGTTTTTAAAAGATATGTCGTCGAAAGCTGTACAAAACTTGTATAGGAAGTCCTATAGCAAATTGGAAAAGTTCTCGAAATATTTTCTATATGATGGGAAGTGATACTGCCACTTATAAGTTATTCGTTTTGAGTATAAGATAAATCATTAGAACAGATAAAATGGAATTCGATTATACAGCTTTTCTAGAGCTTTTCACGACGCATCTTTTCAAAAAAAAATGTAAGGTTTTTTTATCATTTACCACAGCCCAGATATATGACAAATAAAAAAAATGTTACAACAATATGAACACTATAGAATTAAAAAAAAATCTACTTTTTCTTCTAATACACTTTTTTATACTTTAAATTGTATTTGATCTTCAACGTAGATATACAAAGATGCAGCGGGTTCTGGACTTTCTTCCTATATATAGTAGGCTAATAGATAATAACGTATACTAATAAAGAAGAAAAAAATCAAAGGGTATAATTGAAATTTTCGTGGACTGTATTCATGAAAAACGCAGATAACGCACAGACATTTTTTCAAATTCAGAAGCGTATATCTCGACAATTAATGGAGCTAGAGCGATGAAACTTTTAGCAAATATATATTCGGCAGAGTTCTACTTGCCTTAAAAATTTCAAGTTTCTATCTTTGTGGAATCGAGTTTTACACAAGAAACAATGATCAGTAACGCACAGACAAAAAAGGCCCTCCTCTTGCAGTACTGGCGAAAGAAGTGATAAATCCTGCGAACTGCTCCATGTTAATGAATTGCATGAGAGAATGTTTTGTAGGTCAGAGTTCGGGCTATCTTTTGGAAAAACGAAGACATCAACATTTTGAAAAATGAGCAAGCTATTGACAAAACATTAAGTAACGCACAGACGTTTTGGTAACGCACAGACATGAATTTCTACAAAAAATTCCCAAATCTAAAATTTTTTTCGTATTTGAAAATATCACCTTAGAACATCAAATTAATGATGTTCGTTTATATTTCAAGCAGTCACTATTGTTTTATGTAATTTTTTTTGATGGTCATACCTGTAAAGGATTCTGCTTTTTCACTAGGGACTCCAATTGATCCATCGCTTTTAACTTGGGACATACATGACTATAGGTAATTTCTTATGCTGATTTTGAATTTGATATTCATTTGTGCTCTAAGATGTTTCTAATATGGCTCTCTAAATATCTGATGTCCGAAGGACTCTCATAAAATATGAGATACAGAAATTCTAACCTGTCGAGATTGTAGAGTATGTCAAGTTACCTATTTAAAAGATTTCCGACTTCACAAATACATTTCTGCTGAGGTATGAGGATTTTATGAGCCAAAATATCAGAACTGATGCAATTTTTTCTAAAATCATTAGTAAAATTTTCGTACTTCAGGAAAACGTATTTGTTAAGCCAGCAATTTTTTTTCTATAGGCGACTTGACATACTCTACAATCTCGTCAGATCAGAGTCTCTCTATATCTCATATTTTATGAGGGATCTCCAGACACTAGATGTCTAGAGACCCGTATTAGAAACATCTTGGAGCATAAATGAATATCGGATTCTGAATTAACATAAGAAACTACCTATACTCAAGTATATTTTAAGTTAAAAGCGATAAATTAATTAAAGACTCTCCTTTATCAGTATTAAGATGACCTTTCTTCTTCAAATTTTTTCGGTAACGCTTCTGTTATTGAGCTGCAATGAACTTCATATCAAGCAAATGTTTTATACTCACCGAATATGAAATAAATTTACTATATGCCGAAATAATATAGAAATAACGGAGCATGATTCCTGCGAAGATTTCCAGAAGTCCTCTTAAAAACTTTTGTGCTTTTATCTGATGTTTTATTCGAAACTAAGTAGTCATCAACAAAAACCAAGTAAGAGTGTCTTGAACTTGAAATTTTAGTTGAAACCAACAACTTTCCGTAGGCCTATCAATGTAGTAATATAAGGTACCCGAAAGTCACGTCTGTGCGTTACCAAGTTTCTCGGCACTAGAACACTTGTATCAAAAACTGATATGTGTATTAGATAACCCATCAAAAGTTAGTAGAAGATCAATAAGAGTTTCAAAGTAAATGACTTTAATTGAGCCAAAAAATAAACTTCATTCGATTTTTGGTAACGCACAGACACCCATTTTTCTTAGTTTTTCGAAGGACTTTGCTCATAGCAATAACAATCTGCGGAACTTCTAAATAGATGAGAAGAAAGCCCAAATTCTTGGCTTCAAAATGGTATAAGATACTTGATGATCAACACTTTCCTTCTTGAGTTGCATACTTTTTTCTTGTGCCCTGATCAATCATGCAATATTGTAGTGATCCAGAATTTTATTTCGTCCATGTTTTTTCTTTTTAAAAACCACCGACAGACAGAACAAAATGCAGTATCCTATGCGGAAAAGTGTGCTCTACAATTTAGTACTACTTACTTTTGCTGATTTTTAACTTCTACTTTAACCATGCTGGTTGACCGTTAGCCGTTTTTCATGTATTGTTCTCACATAACTTTTTAAATTTGATTTTAGTTCAAGTATTTATCCAATACACCATTATTTCAATTGTCTTATTCAATTGGAAAAAAAAACTAGCATCATGGAACAAGTATTCGAAAGTGGTTCAATTGATAAATATATATTGATTTATTGTTTTAGGACAAGGAAAATAAGAATACAACGAATGAAAAACATTCTCCAGCAAAAATGAATCAAGTTAAATATGGAATATTAAGCAACAAGGTATCAACAGTAAGAAAACTGCTCTTGTCATGACAATAAAGTAAATTTTCCTTGAATTTTTTAGGTATTGGAAATGGTAAATGATTCCTCACTTAATACTATGGCTTTACCAAAACTAAAATTAGGAAAAGTAAGACAGAAACCTTTTTTTATATCTAATATTCGATTATTTGTATTTCAGAATGATATGGTTAGAATAACAGATCCTAATGATGTAAGTATAACATGAATTGTCTGATTTTAAATTTATTAAATTTTAATAGAATCAACAATTATTATCGTCGTCATCAACACCACCAATTATTTCACACCAAAAGCAACAAATAAATAATACATCCAATAATGCTCATCAAGAAACTAGTAAGATTTTCACTAACATTTGATCGTTTTATTATCTGTATTCATTCGTTCTCTTCAGCTTCATCATCATCTTCAGCTTCATCATCATCTTCAGCTTCATCATTATCATCACCTTCATCATCATCATCATCACCTTGTTTATCACTATCAATATTCATAATTGATTCATTAATAACAATATTACTTGGAATTATTTCAAATCTGTTCGTATGGTATATTATAGTTAACGGCACAATAACAAAAACGTTGACAGTATGTTTTTCTTGTTTGTTGTTCGTCTTGTTCCTTTTTTTCTTAAAGTGCATTATTTTAAAATAGTAAACTAAGTCAGAATTCGACCTCTTTCTATTTTTATTGTGATCTTTATTCTTTTTTTCTTTTCTCACTCGTGTGTTGATACTTTTATCTTGTCGCGCACTTTCTCTCATATCTCGTCTATTTTCAACAACAGTTATTTGTGTTGATAAAACAGGAACATTAACACAAAATCAAATGACTGTTGCATATTTCTAGTTTGATAATCATATTACTGATTCAGATATTGATGCTTTTCAATCACGTATTTTCAATTTTCATTTAAAAAAAATATTATTTCTATTAAAGATACGTAATGTTATATATTATTGTATAGTAAATCCGAAAGTATGTCAAGTTCAATTTCAATCATCATAATCGTTATCAATTATCAATTCATTCAACAAATGATAATGATGAAAGATATTTACTTGTTATGAAAGAGGCACCTGAAAAAATTCTTAAAAATTGTTCAACTATATATGTTGATGGTTGTGAAATTGAATTAAATCAATTTTGGAAAAAACAATATGAAACAGCATTTAAAGAATTAAGTAAAAAAAAAACATTTTTTATTTAAACAATATAAAAAATCTTTTTTTTTATATAAAAAAATCGGCAGGTAATCATGGTGAACGTGTTCTTGCATTTGCTGATTATCGTTTACCATTAAATAAATATCCACGTGGATATGAATTTGATTGTGATACAATTAATTTTCATGTTAATCCTTATTTTGAATATTTTAATTTTCCAACAAATGGTCTTAGATTTTTAGGTTTAATATCATTAATTGATCCACCACGTGTTAATGTTGGTGAAGCTGTTAAAAAATGTCGTTCAGCTGGAATACGTTTATTAATGATAACAGGAGATCATCCATTAACAGCTGCTGCTATTGCACGTTATACTGGTATTATAACAGATCATAGTACAACTGAATTATTATTTTGATTTAATTAATAAAGTTTAACAAATGAATATATTCAATTATATTATCGATAAATAAAATCAATATTTTAACTAATTATATTTATTTGGATAAAAACAAAACTTTACAATCAAGATTGACACTTTTCAAAATTTGCTTTTTTTTTTAAACTTGTTCAATATAAAAATGAATGTTTGAGATATTCTCAATCCTGAAAGATGGAGTCTTCATGATGAAAATTCGTAGGTGAAGATAAGCTGCACTCACATGCTGCACACACTTGCGTGTGTAGCTTATCCTGGCGTGTTTGCACCAATAGAATTACTTTCCATTTTTTATTTTCATCAATCCAGAAATTGTTTGACTTTGACATATATTGAAAAGAATGTATATAACCAGATATGTTAGTTGAATTACCAGATATTTTTTTTAATTAGTTGTTTATGAAAATAAAGTGAATGCTCAAGTTGAGTTATATATTATTTTCAATTCAATTGATTATTGATTTTTATTTTTATCATTCAATACTGAAAATTCAAATACGAACTAAATCAAAAGTTGATCTATAAATCAAAATAAAAAAAATATTAAAAAAAAATTTTCTCTCATGTTAGAACAATCTTGTTTGATTTGCATTCAAGAAAAAATCTATACGTTCTTAAAGAAGAAATTTAAAAAAAAAACTTTTGAATTATTTGTCAATGATAAAGTTGATTTTTCTGATTCACTTATTTTCTGTTTTAAATCAGGTTTTGGCATGCAAATAAAAATAAGCAAATTTCATTAGTTATTTTACGAAAAATTGAATAAAAAACATTTTGAACCCGAACGATAAAGTATTAGTTGACTCACAATTAATTTTCATATTAAGGCATCAAAATCAGTCATCTTACTCTTAGTATAGAATACTTCTGTGTAATAGGTCTGTTTGAAAGAAAGTTAATAAGAAAAATCTGTAGTTAGTGAGATAAATAAAAGTCAAATTCTCATTAAAAGTTTCATATTAATAATCAACGCGTTGGACTTGACGATTCAAAAATTTTAGTTGTGAATGTTTTTGTAATATGAATAGAAAACAAGCTTGTTCTATAATGATACAAAAGTACAGTTTTCATTGCATCGAGTACTTAATGAATGTTTAACATTAACATTATTATTTCTTCTAAGTTTGATGTCAACAAAACCTGATTATCAGATTATGTATATCAGTTTTCTTGATAATTTATTTAATCAAATAGATAATTTCAGTTACAAGCAGCTTCTTAGAGAATGAAAAGAAAATAACGACAATATGCTGGAGTAGATTATGAAATCTTTGCTTTTGAGTTGAATTGATAATTTCATGCGCTTTCCAGAAATAACAAAGCAAAACATTTTATTACAGATACCCGCCAGATAAATCGACAATGTGCTTTTTTTCGATATTTCTAAACTTAATCTAGCAAAATCTATAACTTATAACCATCGATAAAATCAAAAGAAAGTGTTGGTACTATCTGGCATAATTCTTTTATGGAAAAGGCTTGGAGCCATATAGAACATCTTTTAACGTACACACTATTACCCTGTTTCCAGAACTGCTCGATTTCATTCAGATACTGATGTTATTTCAAATTTATTTTTGACATCATAAAAATAGTAAAGACATTTCGTTCTAAGTGTCACTCGTTGAACGATTTCTTTTTCTTTTATTTTGCTCGTTCTTTCGTCGTGTTCTTCTGTGTAACATGACTATGTTCAAATAAGTCTGCACATATATTATGTATACGGCTGATCAAGAAAGAGAAAAAAATGTGTTGTGAAAGGTTTTAATGATTTTCGCGGTATAATTCAAAAAATAAAACTCGACAAAAAATATTAATAAAAAAATTTCTCTCAATGGAAGGAATAGTCTTACGTACAATAGATTTATTTTCAAACGAATATATGAAGTCTAGCCTAATACCAAAAATAATGTGCTCATTTTTGATTTTGAATAATATTTTTCACTAGGCCCACAATTACTAATGTCTTCTTTTAATATGATTATTGAATAGGATCAAAAATAATTTTAATCGAAACGATCACAATTAGTATTATTTGTTTTCATCTTTCGAACGCCATTATTATTGTGGGTGTGGGTGTGGGTGGGTGTGGGTGTGGGTGTGGGTGAGGTTGTGACTGAGATAAAGACCCACACCCATACCCACACCCACACCCCACCCAAAATGATTGTATTAGTATCAACGGCAAGTATTCATTCTGAAGTCGATCATATTCTTCGACTGGCAAAGCCTGATAGAGAAAACGGTAAAGAAAGGAATCTCGTGTGTACCAAAGAAGAGTATATATATCAAGAGTGTGAGGTGTGGGTAGGGATGGCACTTTAATAAAGTATTAAAGTGAAAGTAGATATCTTGACAGTGCTCAGTAATTATTTTCAGTTTCCCTCAGAAGATCATTTTTGTATCTCAAAGAAATTATTTCTGCAAAAATACAACAAAATTAAATTGAACATAGGTCGAACTGCACTGTTTATAATATAAAATGCTACTTTAATCTGATTGATTTGTAGTTATAAGGAGCGACACTTTATGTTTACCGATTACCAACGAAGAAATAGCGAAGACTTTGTGAGTTAGAGTTTTTCGTCAAGGAAAAGCATTTTTTATCAGAAAAAACGGTTTTCTATAAAGTTTAATAAAAAGTAGGTATGGTCTTTAAAACCTTTTCAACGGTGATTCCCATATCTAATGAAGTCTTTTTCAGGAGTAGTACTCGTATTTCTTCATGGCTTGTCACAGAATAATTCCAGTGACTCTTATGATCTTATTTGCAGGGTGATCCTCATACTTCTTTCTGGACTTTCTGGGATGGTCCCGTAGAGTCGTCAGTATTTTTTTTGGTTTGATTCGCATATCTCTGATGGCGCTATGTTGGAATGATAATGACAAGTTGTCAGTAACGAAATTGGAGAGATCGTGCCGAGTTTTCGAGGATTCTCCTTTGTGTTGTGGTGTTGATGTTAAGGAAGTGCGCGTTGGTATGGCTGTAATTTTCCTTGGTTTTTCTAGATTGCACGATCGATAGGCTCGACAACTTGTACATGATTGATTTTTGTTTTAGTGCTGATGGAGCAGAATGAGCCTTCGGATGTCTTGGAAAAGCCGTTGTGTTTATAATGATGAGTTCATCGGATAATACAACATTATTATATGATATGGCACACAGCATTTCTGACGATTTTCATGCCCAACATTAAGATTCCCTCAAAAATCGATCTCAGATTAGGAACACTCAAATTGCATGAAACTTTCAGAATATGTTGGGGCTAGTGTGAGGAGGCTGTGGTAAAATTTTCAGCCCTATATCATGACGTTTGACAGAGACATTTACCAAACAGGGGTCAAAAATAGCACATTTGGCAAGCCAAATTTTTCTGTCCGAGCTCATTCTATATATATTTAATTTTGTTTTTGTTCGAAAGAGAGTGTAGGTGTGGTTGTGGTTGTGGTTGTGAGTATGATTGAACCGAAGGCTCACATCCACACCCACTCCTATGGAAGTTGCTGCTTCTCACATTGCAGTTGGCTATATATACTTTTTAACATCCTAGTGTGTGATTCGAACCTTGTAAACTATCGGCATCTGTCTTCGTGGTAGTATCCAGTATGGGTACAATCTTTTGTACTCGGACTCTATCCATCAACTTTTTTTCATGCTCAAGTTCCAACTGATCTGACGATCTTGTACTTCAATCCGCGCTGGACCCGACAAGCTGTACTCGACATTCGGCATATATTCTCAATTTGTTGCAGGCTTCGCCTCAACACTATGTTTTGCTTTTATTTCTTCGAATTGATGGGAATGCGAATGAAAATAAAGAGAATACCTACACCCGCACTCTTTAAAAAAAATAGCAGTTGAGGATGAGAAACATTTGCACTAAGGACATTTTTTTCTAGGACGAAAACTTGGGAATATTTCGCAAAGGATATTTTCGAAAGAATATTCTAGTCTGTTATCTATGTAGTAACCGAAATGAATTCATAGGAATCATGAACAATATAAAATTTATTGTAATTAATAACGTTTAATAAATAAAAGCAACGCAAGCTTTACTTTAATGTATGTGAAATCGAACACTTTTTATCATCAATGCACTTCATCCTTTAATTTAAAAAAACCTGTACAATGTAATTGTTACAAGATTGTTATGAAATTTTGTAATTCGACGAAAATAAAAGAAAAATCAACATTCCAAACAAGGGTTCACAGCCAATGTATATCTACCACTTACTTGTACTGTCTCAAACTGATTCAATTATAATCATATTCCACTGTAAATTTCCGTTCCATTATCTTGACAGCAACAGATATTATTGCTACTTATTCACCTGATGTAATACGTATATTGATTGTTGCTCACACACAAAACTCTTCAGTCGAACGGTCCTTGTACTTATGTCTCCTCTGCTGAAGTGGTCCTAATGAAAATTCTCATGCTTAACATTCATCACCCCAGATAATTACATGAACTCATGAAAAACCCCAAACTAGAATACGTGTATAACTATTTGCGCAATACAAGGTATTCATTATAACACTTAATCGAATGTATAACCGTAGAGGTAGTACCTATTTCTCAACTAGATGTGTACATTTGTCTTTGTTTTCCCTTTCAAACAATGATAAAGATAACTGAAAGAAAAAAAACTTGTTTTTTTCTAATATATTGGGCAAAAACAACTTTCATCTCTCACATCAACTGCACTACAATAGCCAATATTATAAAGGAATTAAAAAGTTAATCTATTAAGAAAAACAAAAGAAAAGGAATCACATGTAACTATATTGCTCTATGTCTATTTCATCTCACTATTTTTGATGGATTAGAAAAAAGAAAACGCTATGAAAATCAAAGAACCTTCATGGTGTTATCTGAAAAATAACAGAAGTCAATGGTGGACGGATGAAAATGAAAATAATTACAATTATCATATTGGCAATCAATCGAAGATGTTGACGAGCAGATTTCCATCAAGACATGATACATGTTTGAAAAAGTACTTAAAACAAATACTTAATGCGTATTTAGGCTAGAAAGGGTAGTAAATGTCTTATAAAAACCTTCTATCAATTTGTCGATTTACTCGAAAAACATTGAAAAAAATAATTTAGTCCTTGATGTTGTTGATGATGTCTGTCTACGGCTACTGTATTATTAAATTGATAGCATTCTATATCATAAAGTTCATCGAATTAGAACCATATTACATTGTAATCTCTTTCATAGTAAACCTCAGTACTAAAAATTATCCTTCAAATATTCTTGATAGCTCTTAGATTAATCTGCATATCCTTGAACATCATGATTCTCTAGATCCACGTTACCTTTCTAACATGTTCCCCAATGCTCACATTAATAATTGCAATCAGTGCGATCAACATAGCACATTTCTGATGTTAATGAGTTATGACAATATATTAATGGTTTATGTCATTAAATATAATCAATCATCTACTGTCTCCATTAAACGTGATGATAATGATAAAACATATGTCGTTGATACTGTCCGTTGCTCACTTAAAATAAAACCTATTAAGTAATTAATAAATTATATTTAGTTTTTATTTCAAGCTTTTCTATCATATGTTTTATCAATATTTGATTAAGCAATGGAGAAGAAAACTGCATACGTTTTACACTCAACGAATTAGAATATAATATAACAATCGTCTGTAATGCTTAATTTATTAACAAGCTCTTTAAGAATTTGTATCGCTAAATCACAAGTTATTCGACCGTTTACAATAAATAAATTAAAGACATTGACACTGATTTATTCTTCAAGATGCAAATGTAATCTTTTTTTAAGTACAAAGATTTTTGTCAATAAAAAAAAAAATTCTTTATATAAAATATTGATTGTGATCGAAACAGAACTAAATTGAAGTAAATGTATTAATGGTCATATTTAACTTTAAGTCTTATACGTATTTTAATTGACTAAAAGAGATGTAAAGTGAATAGATAAGATAGTATTAAACAAAAAACAGATATATTGTGTAAGTCATGTTATAAAAGAATGTTGAACATAATCTACTATAGTATTGGTTTGCATCATCAACATTTATATGACATTAAACATATGCTCTGATCAATACATAATCATTTCATCTTTATGACTATACAAAAGAATTGACGAAATAGTTCTTAAATATCAATGAATATACTATTAAATTAGAAAGTTCATGACTAGAGATATTCAATGGGATTATCAATCGATATTAATTTATGTCATAAAATAATAAGGTATTTTCGAAAAGTAACTGAAACAATCTATTCGTTTTCAAGGTTTATTCGAAATGTAGAGGTACGAAAATAATGTTTCGATGTTCCATACATATATTCTTTTTTAAATCGTAGAGTTAAGTAAAGTATTTGTTAGCGAAAAAAAGTCGATATTTGCTGAAGTTTATGAATAATTTCAATATACTAGCGCCCACTATTGCGTAAAATAGTGCCATCAATTGTATATTTTAATCGTTGTTTTAATCCTGTTTATAGATGATTATTAATTTAATTCATTATATTGTTTAATAATCATCGTTAATTTTCTGTCTGATAATAACAATTGTCAGTACAATACTTACAATTTATCCAACATCAGACGATAGTAAATAAATAAACAATCATATCAAGATTTATGCATTCATAAATCAGACTTTTGGGTTGTTTCTATGAATAAAATTCAATCAATATTAAAGATTAATCTTTTTTTTCTTCAAATAAATAATAATTATTTATTTTATGTAAATCATATTCAATCAGTATCAGAACCTTTTTCTTTTTTTTTATCTCAACATGAGTTGCTAAGGTTATTTTTCATTTGACAAAAAAAAAAGAAATGACTCGATCTCAATCGTTTATAGATTTACTAAGTACAAATTTGGCTTATTTATTTCATAATTATTTATTTGTTAAAAATAAACAAACATGTTCACATAAGTTATCATCGAATAAAACTTTAAATTTAGTAAAAAAAGTTCGTATTAATATAAATAAATATGGTCATTTATTAAATTCAAATTGTTCTCAAGAAATAAAAAATAATAACAATAATAAATTAATAAGTAAAGATATTGCATTAAAGAGAAAGAAAAAGTCAGTATTAAAACAATTTTATTAATATTTTTTATCTCATGTAATTTTATTTCAGAAAAATAAATAAGAAACATAATCAAAGCAAAACGAAAAATAACAAAATCAAGTAAGTTTAATATTATGCAAAGTAGAATGTCTAGAATATTAATTAGATAATAACAAGTGTAAATGTTAATCAAATATTTATTTTTATTCTTGTTTGAGGTTTGAAGTCAAATAAATGAAACAAAAAGAAAAATGTCTCATCTACATTCGATGTTATGTGTTAGTGACTACTTGTGACTAAAAATAATGTAAAAATGTGATAAAACATTTTCTTCAGATAAATTTAATCGAACACTGCAATGTACTTGTTTCAATAAACAGTTGAATAAAAAAAAATAATTCGAATAATGAAACTACGTATGAATTTAGAAAATAAAAGTGTATGTTTTTTATGTAGAGGAAAAAGGCATCAGATCCGTGTAAATGTTAATAGGATTCAATTGAAACAATAATAATCCTGATAAACTAGAAGACTGAAATGAAGCTTGCTTTGATGGTTATTTTTTATCAATAATATTTTAATAACTTCTGGCGTCTTCTTTTTTTTGAAAGACTATAGTATTTTTCTTATTCTAGTAAATAAATGCAAATCTAAAAATTCAAAATGAAATAGTTAGTCGATAAATCACAAAAATATAATTAAAAACGTGATTCTGTTTCAAATATTAGATCGAAAAAAACGAAGATACGTGATCAAGAAAAGAAACGACAATCAGAAAAGATGATTTCTATACAATCAAGTGTACCAAGAATAGACTATCATCAATCATCGATGGTAAGATGAGACTCTCTTTTTTTTTCTATTTACAAAAAGATTAACTTATTTTCATCGATCTTCTAGATTAGTCGTGTGTCATCTTCTACTTCATCAATATTATCTGATATACAAATTCTTGAGCAAAATAATAATTCGATTGATTCTACTTTATATATATCAGATCAATGTCGAGAAAAAATGCAATTTCTCTATAATATGGGACCAATAGTGAATAAAAATTATATTAATACACATCATTTATCAAATGAATTAGATTTAATTAAAAATCGCCAACATAAAAAAATGAATGAATATTCTACAAATTTAAAACCCGAACAACTTTTTCGTTGTCCAAAAGATTCAAGATCAAAACGACGAAAATGTTGCGGAGGTAAAAGAAAATATATAAATACAATTTAAAAATTAACATTTCATAATTTCGTATGTTTTTATTTATTTATTTGTATCTAGTATATTATGAATTATTCAATGACGCATTACGTTTACTCGAAGAATGGTTTACTATAAAATAAAAATACTTCGTATTTAGAAGAAAAACAATAATATTTCATATAATTTAAAAGTATTTTTATGTTGAAAAAAAACAGTATTTTAGACAAGTCTTTCGTGGACGTACAGGTAGGGTCAAAGTCCAAAAACTAAAGTTTCATCGAAAGATTATAAAGTGTTTTTTCATTGAAAAAACAAAGTAACGTACACGTTTTTTGTCGTTTTTGACTCTTAGATTGTGGTAGGCATTGTTATAAATGTAAATATCTTACATGCAAATATGCTTTTTAGTAAGATTTTATAGGTCAAAATTTCTATCCAAAAAAATGTACGACAAGATATTTTCTTTATTGTAATATATCCATTTCTGTTTTAATAGCAAAATCTAACTACATCTCATTTCGTTATCTTTTTCTTTCATCAAATAGTGACTTGGCATAGACGCGTAGCTTAAAAAAAGCCTTGGATATGTCGGTTTTTTTTTCTTCGTCTCTTTTATCTTTACTCCTATATGTGACGTATTCGTTACACACATACGCATCGAACGTTCTTTATCCGAGGTCAAAAATTATGTCCTAAAAAACTAATTTATATATTTCTATAATCTATTTTAAATTTTTCAATTTGATGAAAAAAAAAAAGATAAAATATATAAAATTGAAAAGTTAATTAGTCATATGTTTTTGCTAAAGACAATCGACATTATGAATATATTCGATATCTCTTCCTTTTTTTTGCAACTATATCTCTAATCACGTCTCCAATCAATTGGATGAAGACAAGATGATAATGGATGAGGCGATGACGAATAGGCATATATAACAAAGGTGATCACTTTAGACAGTATAATGATAGGTTGCTTTTTCGTTTTTTCTTTTATAATTGATGTTTATCGTCTACTGAAATAATTGATCGAATAGAAATTTCGATAGGAGAAAGCTGTTCTTTGTGTTTTATTTGTTTTTATCAATTTTCTCTATTCTCTTACTTGTTCAATAATTCTTATTTTTATGTTAAGTCCATTCATCTCTTCCATATATCATATGTATAACCCCTTAAATAGATAATCCTTTGCGCACCCTGAACAGTTGTAATCACATGATGTTGGTGATGTAAGCCCTAACGTCATCATATGGTGAAGCAACATCCAATTGGATAGTTGTGCGTCATCACTGACGTGGCATGTATATAATCATAGGATTCTTCTATTTTTCTCTTTTTTCTCTTTCATTGATGTTTATATGCTGCTTTCTTTTTCTTTTTCTAGTTTTAATATAATTATTACATTGTCAGGTAAATATTTAACGGTGAGAGAAAAACAAATATTCAAGTACAAAAAAATTTCTTTCTTTTTTTCTTTTTGTCTTATTAAAACCTCTATTTACAGAAAAGAATACATCGAAATAATTGATTACATATGCATAACAACGCATTATACTTTATATATTTCTATCATACGTAGTTAGCATTGACAAAATGTCACAATAACTCTATTCAGTGCATTGAATATCAGTTTAGGATATTAATGGTTTTTGTATGAGTGTGTACTGTCTATTATCAATTCATTGATATGATAGATAAAAATAGACATGAATGAAAAAAGTATGATAAGAGACCAAAAATGTTCACATTGTTTATCAGTTTTCTTTTTCTTTTTTTTCTTGTTTGATCAACATTACTTCCGATGACGTTCAAAGTTTATATTATTCTATAAAAATGTTCTAGTCAACTAACATAATAGTTAGCTTATTCTCTTGTGTTCTAATTATCTTTCTTGCAGTTTTTTTTCTATACACAAAGCGCAATCTTGTCGATTCATATGAGAACAAACAGTGAGTGAAAAGAATTCTATTCTTTTGCTCCGTTTTTTTTGTGTTGCCTGCATATGCTACTAATAGATCGTGTACAGCAAGCCTTGGCTTCTGAATGTTTCCGGATGAGACAAGACGATGACTTGCCTGTTCTTGCTCTTCCAGGTTCTTTATTTTTTCTCTTCTCTCATTCTGGCATTGAATTCTCAATGCTTATATATTCAATAAGCAGCTGATAGATGCGGTTTTTCTTTTAGGAATAGAAAATAAAAAGAAAGAAAGTCGCAAGAGAACAAGCACACGTCGACGAGTCGTTGCATTCTGGCATTATTGATTTAGCCATCAGCAGAAACAGCAACATTCTATTTCTTTTTCAGTTGAATCATTTCTCTTTTCTGTTTGCCGTTTTTTTTCCTAGTCATTGAATTGAGTGCTTTTTTTTCGTTTCTTACTTTTCGCTAGACGAAAGAGGAAAAGGTAATAGTAGTAATAGGGACGAAAAGGATGATGATGATGATGATGCTTTCATCTTCAAGTGAATGAATGATTGACTGCCTGAATGTGGCGGGCATGCTTGAGGCAACTAGTTGCGTAGCATAGAAGAAAAAAAAAAGAAAGACACATCAATGCACCACTCAAGAATAAAAAAAAACAGATGCATTGTTGCTTGTCGGAACAGTAAGTCGTCGACCAAGTAGCTAATGTGCAAATATATACATGTGCTAGTGATTGTTAGTGTATATGTATGTCAACGTATTCATAGAAGATTTATAGACAGAGGACTTTTTTCTTTTCGTTCTTTTCTTTTCTTTTCTTTTGTGAGTACTGTGTACGTATCTTTCGAGAACAAGGACTTGCGTTGTTGTGCGTAGCTGACAATAAAATTATCGAACAAAAGAGATGCATGAATAGATGGGAAGAATAGAGAAGGACGTAGAAAAAAGAAAAAGGAACATGTACCATATCCATCCCGTCCATCACAGATGTGAACGAACGATTGCTGAGGACAAAGCTATTACGCTATCTATAGAACGTGGAGGCCAATTGTCCTGATATGATCCATTTTCCTCTTCTCTTTCTTCTGCTTCGTCTTCTTGTTGCTTATTTCAACAGCTGATACTGGCATCAGCAGCTCATATTGAGAATCTATTGAATACAGAAGAATTTTTCAGCGCAAAGATTCTTTCTTTCTGAGTTTTTATTAGTAATACGTTTTTAAAACGAAAAAAAGCGGAAAAGAACCTGGATATCGTGTTTAATTCTTTCACTATTTCTTTTTTCTTCTTTCTCTTTCGATTAATAGAGAAACGAGAGAGAGAGAGAAAGAGATGCACTGAGGGCATGTTAGACCATCGATCTAGGGTGATGTGAAGAAGAATACGACGACGATAAAAAGGAGAAGGTCATTTTCACGTATATCTCTTCTTCTAACTAAGGTACGATTTTACTTTTAGATTTTCTTTTTTTTTTATTGTTTAATTCCGTCGTGATCACGAGTAGTATGTTGACTGAGAGTAATTATCATCATCGGTCTCATCATCATCATAATAATGGTCCGGTGATTCATCAACATCGTACACATTATATTCCTTATCAACCCTCATCATATATAGCCAAGTCAACACAACAAGTTCAACATCAACAAGTACCACAGCAACAACAACAGCAAGAATCTGAAATACAACAACCAAAATTCGATTTACATCATGCTGTTCGAACAAATGATGTTTCGGGAATAATTCGTTTACATAGTCGACTTCGACAGCAACCAATGGTAGCTGATACATGTTTACTTGATTCGAATGGTCATACACCATTGTATGCAGCTATTGCTAATGGAAGACTTGCTATGGTTGATCTTCTTCTTCATCTCGGCCATAATCCTGTAAGTTTGATTACTTAAAAATTTAGAAATCAATAAAAACAAAAAAGAATCAAAGAACAATAATAATAATTTGTTTTTATTTCTTATGTGATCAATTATTCATCATTGACTAGTTTCGATTATAGGGGGAAAACAGAAAAAAATATGAATCATATATTTACTTTTGGAAAAAAATCACCGAATAGATGTGTTTGATTAAGTTAAATTTATTTAGTGAATCAAAATAAAAATAATGGATTAGTCTATTTAATCTGGATATGTTAGAGCGGTTTTTTTTTTGTATGATTTTCGATTTAAAGATGTTTGAAAATATTTAAGGGTAGTCTATTGAGTAAAGCATTTTCAACGAGGAAAATTTCAGAGAAAAGATAATATTTACCTTGTATTTTTAAATACGGTTCTTATTACTTTCTTGAATGTTTTATTAGAAAAGAAATATTTTATTTTATTTTAGTATTGCATCTCGGTGGCTCGTGAATCAGCATTAAATGTTGCCATAGGTTTTGGTCATCTTGATATAATAGATTATTTATTAACCCGTGGTTTTCCTGTCGACTATCCTGGTTTTGAAAATAAAACTCCATTAGAACGAGCTATTGAATGTAATCAAGGTTCAGCTGTTGTTACTTTACTTAAACATGGTAGTGATTGGCGTCGTTATGAAGAACGACGTAAAACAGGCGATATGTCACTTGTTGAATGGGCACTTGCACATGAGCATCCTCAAGTATTAGGTGTATTTATTGATCTATATGGCGATGATGAATCTGTATTTAATCAGATCGGTATGATGTAAAAAATATTTGTACATAAAAATTTTACATATATATATATATATACATAAAATATGCGTGTGTGTGTGTATAACAAGCAGACCATTTTTCAGGTATCTATTACTTTTATTTCTGTGTGTTGTAAATTAAGTGAGAGTGAGAGAGAGAGGTCATTTTCCCGGTTTAGTACCATTAGTTCGTTTCATGTTACATTTTTTTCTTCGCTCTTTTTTTGTTGCGTTTCATTGCTTCACAATCAACTGATTTGTTGTTTGTTTGTTTGGTTTATTGTTCGAGTTTCTTTTTGTTTTCGTGCATAACGTTGATGAACAGTTTCACGTCTTTTCTTTCTTTTTTTGTTTTCTCTGTATATATTTGTATATCTACTATTCTCTATATTACAGTACGCGTCATTGTTCCATCTGTGATTTTTTTTTGTCACTTTCTCTCTCTCTTACATACGAATTTCTTTTTTGGCTTTATGTACATTTGATGATGAAAAAAAAAACAAAAAAAACAACAAACATTATTCTCTTGTATATATGTATAAAAACTTTGATGTGACCATTTTGTTGCTTCTATATATAACAGCAAGTATATAGAACGGGTTCGTCTTTTTTGTTTTTTTTTTTAAATACCCGGCCTTTCGTTTGTTTTTGTTTCGAGCATTGGCGTTCTTTTTTTTTTTTTTTTGGTGTACAGTATCTTTTTTCCCCTGTGTATGCGCGTGTGTTTTTGTTTATTAGGAAAAAAAAATTTAACATTCAAGAGAAAGCACTTGAATTGAATCTTATTCTTGATTGTACCAATAGGAATTTTTGATCGAAATAGCAGATGTCACTTTCAGGACAAATATATTTCTTTTACGTTGTTAAGTAAACTAGAAAAGAAAAAACAAAATAATTAAATAATTGATTTTAAAAATTTTCTATGAGATTTATTTGAAAATATTTTTCTTCGAATTATGTTTAATTTTCGTTGGCCTATCATATAACAAAGAGACATCATCAAATGATCATTGTTCATTTGTTCTTTCTCTATTATTAGACAGATAGCGGTCAATCTCGTGAGAAGACATTCTTGTTCTTTTTTTTTTCTCTTTGTCTATCACAGATTTTGATATATTCATATTATTTAAATAATGGAACAACAAAATAATACTACTATTTTAAATGATAGTGCTGGTGTTCTACCAATGGATACTGGTGTAACATATAATGGTCTTCATGGTAAAAAAAATTTTATTATTCATTATTTTTTTTATTAAAATAATATTCTTTATTTAGATGAAATTATAGATAGTCCATCATCATCGGCTAAAGCAGGTGCAAAAAAAGGTCGTGGTCGTCCACCAAAATCTACAAATACAATAAAAGCAAGCAGTGCTTCTGATACACCAAAACGTGGACGTGGTCGACCACCAAAAACAGGTGAAACACCATCATCAAAAAATAAGGTTACTGCATTAAAAAAGAAAAATGAAGAAATATCAACAAATGTTGATGCAAATAAAAGAAAACGTGGTAGACCATCGAAGAGCAGTACATCAAATGAACAAATCAATGGAATAAGCAAACCACATGTAAATAAGAAAATAACAAAGATTATTGAAATAGAACTTATTTGTTTTTCTTTTATTATCAGGTTCAAGTAACTCCGGTTTTATATCAACAAGAAAAACAAGTTGTTGCTGATGAACCAACAAAGAGAAAACGTGGACGACCATCAGGATCATCACAAAAAAAAATTGTAGTAGCTGCAGTATTAACACCATCAAAAGAAGCATCACCAACAAGAAAACGTGGTCGTCCATCAGGATCTGGTAGTAATAAAAAATCATTACCAAAACCTAAGGCACCAACTAGTACTGATGGTTCAGCTAGAAAACGAGGTCGTCCAAAAAAATTAACAACAACATCATCAATAAGTGAACCTACCGCATCAATTAATGAAACAGCTATGGGTGGTACACCAAATAATGTTCAATAAAACAACGACAATTTTTTTTATAAAAGCATTTAAAAAATGACAATATGTCAAAGTCAATAATTAATATCTCATTTTTACTTCTATTTCATTGTATGTATTTTCTGCGTGCGTGTGTGTGTGTGTACTTGTCGTTCTAGACACTAAAACAAGTCAACTTGTTTATTCATTTATTACTTATTTGTTTATTATGTTCATAAGTAGTCTGTATGTACGCATATACCCTTTCTTTTTCTTCTCTGTATTTCATTTATTTGCTGTCTATTGCGTTCATGAAATAGATTATATACTAGATATATTCGTTGTTCTTCGATCAAAGAATAAATGACTTTTTACATAAAGCTAAAATGATTATATTACAATGTGCTGATCATTTTTCAGTTTGGTCAAAAAAATGAAATTCATCAAAATGAATGAGAACAATATAAATATTGTTATATGAAAATATTATGAATGGTTTACTTAATGCATACCTAGAGTAATGGTAGTAACATTATAATGTTTTGTAGAAGGCTTGAGGAAATTTCCTCTATATAAACAAATACTGATACTGTAAATAGTACTCTATAATTCTATGATATTTCACCATTCTTAATTTTCTATGATTATATTAGAATTTCGATCGAAGCTGTCAAGCTCTGATTTAGATACATAAAAAAGAAAATTTTTGCTTGCATAATAAAGTCTGTATTGCACTAGATATTCAAGTGAGAATTATTTATGATGAACTATCGTTTGTTTTCAATAGCCAGACTTCATATCTCACAATGATTGAAAGATGATGATAGGCATGGTTTCGTGAAGGATACGAAGAACGATCTACCAGATCTGTAATTAAGACTTAGTCTTTCATAATGACCCTCAAAGTCAGATGTTTCCATAAACAAGGATCGGTAACCTTTTTTTGGTTGACAATGATCGAAGATTATTTGTTTGATAGTACCATGGCTCAAATCAGTTTGTGTCTGCAATTCACTAGTCATTATAGAGAGAGCACCATTGATAAGACAATGAATCTGTTCGATTACAAATATCTGCCGAATTGTGCTGCATGCTCAACATGTTGTCTGTCTGTACAAAACCATATCTGTCCTCTTTGAACTGTTCTGGAGGAGTGGAGTCTGGTCGACGACAAGAAATTGTAAGGCAGTATGGATTTAAATATAGAAAGAAAATTTTTTCTTATCCATCTTAATGAGACATGAACAGCTTTGGTTGAAATTCTAATATTATTATACCAAATAATGCCTGATGAAATCTTGTAGACTACTATTTGAACCAGTCGTATTTTTGTATATATACAGAATATATCCTGGAGTCTTCTATTATAGAGTATTATAGTACTATTGTGCTATTACTTTTGGTATGCGTTAAGTATATTCGAACTTGATTTTTTTTCTGAGTTTTTTAGTTGAATATATCGAAGTAATAGAAAGAGTTGATCAATTATTGCTGCATATTGAATGGTATGTTTTTCTTTTATAGTTATTTTTTATTCAATTACGAGAGTTAAGTAAATAAACAATTGTTGAGGAGTGAGACCAAGAAAAGTGATACATTATTTTTTTCGTATTTGAGAGAATGTCTTGAAAATTATTTTATCTTCAGATTGTCATTTTTAAGTAGTTCATAGATATATTTAGAACATACTTAGCCTAATATCTTTTTTTTCATCGATGACATATCGTTAGAGATATCTCGTTTGTCTCTCTTAGGAATAATAATCAGTGAAGGGCATAAGAAGAATCTCTCATTTAGCTAATGCCAACTGTTTTATCATTTACCGACAATATGTTTCATATTGCCAATGTCTCTGTAAGGTACTATCTATCAAAGTAGTTATTTTTGTTTCTCTCATTTATGCCATCGAAATACTATCATTATCAATATAGACTTTTGTTTTTCGTTATATTTATCTCTTTCAAATAGTTAAAATGTTTTCAAGGTCAAGATGGATACAAATTTCTTAGATAAATAATATACATATATATTCAATAAATGAAATTGAAATTATTGATTTATTGACCAGCAAAAAAAATATATCAAATGTAATAAAAAAAAAAAAATAAAAATAAAAACTTAAGTATTATCGACTCGTCATATTTCTTTAAACTTCATGAAATATAAAAAAAAAAGTTTATTTGATTATACGTAAATTTAATATGAACTACAATTTGTTTATATTTTGACATGATTAACTATTATCGAATATGTCTTCAATTGTCATGCCATTCTATTGTTGTCGATTTATGTCTTAGGAAAATAATAAGATATATAAAACAAGAAAGAAATGGAGACAGAAAAAAGAAATAGAAAGACGATAGAGAAAAGAAGCTGTCTTTTTATCATCATCTCATTTCTTTTCTCAAGACAGATTCTTTCTCGATTATTATTGATTTACTACTTTCTTCTTTCTTCCGGATTCTTTCTGTATACAAACACATTATTCTCTGTCTTAGTTGTTATTGTTAGTTTTTTTTGTACGCTATCCTGATTATTGGCCGTGTCCTAGAATATGAACACTTTCTTATTTTAAGACGTACTAATTTATGTTTTTTTTTCTTGATATAGATATAACATCAATTGTAATATGTTGATCGTGTGGTTTTTACAATTGTTTATTTTAAATAATATTATTTTTGCACAACCACCAACTTGTTTTCGTTCATCACGATATTTAGTACCTCAAACATCAGGTGATAATGGTTTTCGTGTAGCTGTTGAAGGTGGTTTTAAAACATATGTACCAGGACGAACATATAAAAGTAATATTTAATTTTATTCTTTGAGTATCTGAAATTATTTGAGAGACTAGAAAGAAAAAAATCTATAATATTTTATTTTAGTTTCGTTAAGTGGTTTTAAAAACCAATTTTATCAATCATCATTCAAAGAATTTATGCTTATTGCTGTACCATCAACATGGTCTGATGAACAACCATATAAATCGATAGGACATTTTGAATTATTACCATCAACAAATACGAATGAGGAATCAACACAAGAAGCTTCTATTAGTCAACGTAATTGTCCGGGTGGTGTTACAGATGCAAATCCAGATAAATTAAAAAATTCTATATCTGTTGATTGGATAGCACCACGTCATCCACAAGGATGTGTTTCATTTAAGTAAAAAATTTTATTTCTAAAATAACATGTTTTTATTAAGATTCATTTTTTTGTTCATTACTATAGAGCTACTGTTGTCCGTTCGGATACAATATGGTTCAAAGATGAAAATGCTCTTACGTATACCATGTGTGAAGATCGTTCGTATTCTATAAAATAATCAATGATACATTTAATGCGATATCATTCCTATTTAGACATGCATATGAAGAAAATGATGCAACAATGTTGTGCATGCGGTGAAGCAAAATATCAATTAACATTTAAAGGACTTTGGTCACCGCAAACACATAAGAAAGATTGGCCATCAACAACAGGTAAAGAGTATAGTCTTAAGGGAATTTTTGCTTTACTTTCCAGAGTTTTGTTGAGAACGGCTCATCAGAAATATTAGGAATTTCAGAGATATCTTGACGAGCACAGTAAAAGTTGTTACAGACTTAAAGGTTTCGCCTATTGTCACTTGTGATATACTGAGAGCACAATGATCTTAATTTTTCGCCTTCATTTCCTCCGCGATCCTATTTACAAATACTCGACATTGTTTGCGGTGGGCACTTTTATTTTTTGTCCTTTGAACAAAAAAGCTAAAGTATTGAGGACACTCGATAATATGCGTTCTTAGATATTTTTGAAACTAAAACTATCGACCCCAAATAATGTATAGTATATATGAAAAAAAAAAGTTTCAGCGTGATTGAACGTACGAAACTAAAGAAATAGGGACATTTTCATACATTTTTTTCGTTCTAATTTAGCTCATTTTTCAACAACTGTTGGTACTGTTCATAATGCCAATTATACAATGTTTCAAGTCGGTTCATATGCAAATCGTGGTTTAAGTCAATTAGTTTTATCTGGTGAAACACATACACTTGAACAAGAATTAGCAAATGAAGTTAGTAAATATATATACATACGTATATCAAAAGAAAAAAAAACGAAGAAAATTATTTTTATTAAATTCTACTAGAAACGTAATAGAGGATCTGTTGGTTTACATTTTTTAATGTCCGGTTCATCGTGGCATCAAGCTATTCGAGTTAATCGTAATTTTCATCGATTATCTCTCGTTAATAAATATCTTGATGAAAATATAAAATCAACCGATTCTTTTATAGGTAGATTTTCGTTTTAGAAAAACGATAAAAAAATTCTTGCTTTTTTTTGTTGTTGTTATTGTATTATACGTAATGTCTTCTTATATTTGTTGTTAATTGTTGTATATGTGTCAATAGTGCTTCTTGTTTATTATAGTCATTCAATGGAGTTATACGTAGTTTATTATTTGCTCAACCTTTAAAACTATCATCTAATGAAGTTGAATCAACAATGAATGTATTTACAGTTTCACCTCATCATCCTAAATTGAGTTTTGTTAGCAAAATTTCACCCAGTCCTGATTGGTTTACAGGTATATCTTTTTTTTCCTTCATGCTTCATTATCTATTTAGTGAAGTTTTTTTCTTCTTTAAATCAATCATGAATAAAATTATTTTATTTTATATAAATAGGAGTTAATGCAGTTGATTTATGTTTGTCAAATTGTACATGGATTGAACAATATTCAGAAGATCTTTATCCATTAGATGCTGGTATTGAGAGTGGAACGACATATACAGTAAGCTTAGTCAATTCTATTCGTTTCTTTGCTTTTTATTTGTTTAATGATATAAGTATATATTGTTTCATTTTAGTCAAGTCGATTACCAACAATACCATTAGAAAAAATTCATCCAATTACTGGTACGGCTTCATCATCATCACCTTTTCAAGATCCAATGAGTGAGTATTAAGATTTTATTTTTGTTATCGTTAATATTTCTTTTTAACAAACTTTATTAGGTAAACCAATAATGCCAGTAGCACGTGTT